GTCTCTGTGTTAAATGTGTTCTATTTTATATACTAAGAGTGGTTTCTTTTTCTTGACACATCTATCTTACAGAACAATTTTGCTTTTATTTCGTAGCTTATAGATGTTGATAAAAGAGAGGAATGTTAAATTATTCATTACCTCAGTTAATGTTTAATCAGCTTGGTACTGCATTTAGATAATAGGGCAAAGAAGAGTAAGATAAAATGACTCGACTGCCCTCAGGGAGCTCTGTCTCCACAGGGGGACAGTGCCTTGCCAGAGGGCACGGAAGCCGAGAAGGAGGACCACTAGACGAGGGTGGTGGCGGGACATCCAGGATCTTGCCAGGTGCTAAGATCTTGCTCAAGTGGTTGAGGAAAAGGCTGTTGCCAGGAAAAGCAGCAGATTGTACAAAAGCATGTCACACGCATGGCTGCTTGAGAGTCGGAAGGAAGCTGGAAAGGTAGTGGGGCTAAATCACCAAGGGCAGTGAAGACTGCACCAAGCGCTTGGACTTCACCCGTTCAGTGATGAGGAGCAGTGAGGAAGGATTTTAAATAGGGGAATCACATGAACACGTGATCCTTTAGGATAATGCCGTTGAGTGGGTATGGAGGACAGATTAGAGGACTAAACGTGGAGGCAGAGAAACCTGGCCAGATTTTAGCCTTGGTTGGAAGGCATGCTGTTTGATTGGAAGCCTGAATTAACCCGGAGGATTTGGGAGGAGGGGAAAAGTCAAGATATACTAAGAAAATAGAATGTGTAGAACTTAGTGATTTTTATTTTTGGATGTTTTGGGAATTGTCATTATACTCAGAGATCAGGAAGTGTTTGGTTAGGCTAAATACTGGAAGACTGCTTCTCAGACTGGGATTACAATGTGTCCTTGGAGGTCTCATGCATGTTTCCGGGCTGTTTGTGCTATGCTCTGGATGTATTTTAGGTTCTAAACAAGTTATGGTTGCAGCACTACTCATATTTTACAAACAAGCCAAATGAGTGATTCTTTTTAAAAACCATTCACTGTTTCTCGCTCCACTCTACCCTCATATCCTTCTCCTGGCCATGATCTGCCCAGTTTCTCTCTGCCAGTCATGAAGTTTGTTGATTATCTCATCTCCTGCTTCTACCTATCATACCTTGCATATCTTCTGATTAAATAAAAGAATTAGACTCTTTACTTATTCAATAAATCATTTTGTGGGTGCTTGTGTCTGGGGGTTTCTGAAGGCTAGCCATAAAATATCCCCTGCTATTTGAGAAAACCTATAAGTTTGCTCACTATCAAACCTCCGCGTGCCAGAGACTGTGTACTGAGTATTTTTGCAAAGTTAAAGGAACACATGCATGCCCCCCAGGAGCTCAACTGAAAACAAACCTATAGAAATAGAAACTGGCAAGAAGGAAATATTAGAAATAATGCCTGCCTTAAATTTTCTACAGTAGTATTTGGTTTGAGTTTCTGCTCCAGAGTTATGGCCAGATGTTAGTAGTCTTGATAGCTAACACTAGCACTCTTTATTTTTTTGGAGATTTTAAGATAGAGTGTAATAGTTGAGAGCCTGGGTTCTGGGGATCTGGCTTCCTGGCTCTGCCTCTTATATGTGTCACCTTGGCTAAATTAATCTGATTCCCTTTATTATCTGTATAATGAGGATCATAATAGTGTCTGCCCTAGGATGGCTGAGAGGACGAAATGGCAGATGTGTGACATGCATAGCACACCTCCCGACACAAGGCTATGCATGATAAATACTTGTTCCTGAATGCAGAGTGAAGCTTCTTGAGGCTCGGTTGAGAAAGGTGTGCTACACCAGTTCTAAAAATCATTGCTTGCCTTCCGTGTGGAAGCCACTGTGGCTAACCCTGAGATCTTTTGTTTCATGTTATGTTAATTGCAAAGAAAACTCTGGACCATGCTTTCTTCAGGACAAATTAGTCTTTTGAATTTTCAACTTACCCCTTTGATCGCATCATACGTGATCGGTTGTTGCCTCAGGGCGCTTCCAGAAACAAGTTTGAAGACCAGTAGGTGGCAGGTAACACCTAGAGGAAATTCAGGCATTGCTGCCTCTGAAAGCTTCCCTTGATATCCATCACCTCTCTCCTTATTTGAGTTCAACACACATTAATTGAACACCACTATTTTTAGTTCTATATTAGGCTCCAGGGATACAAGGATGAACAGATAATTGCCATCCTCATGAAACTTAGCGTAATGGAAATATATGTAAATGAATTCAGTGCACTGTGAAACAAACACGAATGGAAGTGTATAGAAGGTCAGAGAGATACCTAGGAAGATGGTAAGGAAAGTTGCACAGATTTGGTGACTTCTTAGTAGATTTTGAATGGGATAGAATAGAGTCAGCAGATCAGCATGGTTTGTACAGGAAAACTGGACAACTTGTGTGGGAGGATGTGGTAGGAGATGAAATTGAAGATATGGGCAGGAGTTGGATCATGTAAGAGCTTGCCTTTGACATTGGGGGCTGTTTGGTGATTTTAAGCAACAGAATGTTGTAAGATTTGCATCTTTAGCAGAATCATCCTAGTATGCAATATGAACTTGAGAAGGATGATGGAGATGCTGGCAGGTTCATGTCCCCACTGTGGATTCATTAAGGCCAGTCACAGAGTCCTATTTACTTCTGTATCCTCAACACCTAGTATTTTATAGACATTTAAGAAATGTTTTGGAATAAAGACAGCCCAAGTTGAATTTCCCAATTCTTCATCCTGTCTTCAGAACATGCTGACCTAGACCTCCATCTGTCATAAGCAGCTTGACTAAGATCATAATAAATTCTTTTTTTCTTGGCATTCTTTTAACTGGCACTCTATTTACTAGCCTTTCTGTGAAACAGTAGTGTGGTGATGATTGATGCTTATAATTCTGACCCCGAAGTACGTCAAGCCTTCTAAATCATCCAAAGAAGATTAAAGTATATTCAACATCGCTATAATGTTTGTGTGTTTTACTGCATTCTTATTTTTTGAAAATTGATGGTTTATCAAGTGCCTATGTACTCGTTTGCAAGTAGGCACAATGAGAGCCTGTGGTCACCTACAACTCTGCACTCCCTCATTGTGCCTGCCAGGCACAGTGAGTTTATTAGCAATGCATGCTTAGAAATAAGCAAGTAAAACAAACCTGCTTCTTGTCATTCCTATAAGGAAGCAGGTTGGCCCCAAAGAGGCAGATTGGGTAGAGATTAGAGAGAAAACAGTGGTTAGAAAAATAGTAGGAGTAATAAAGCAAGAACTGATACAGACTAGTGAGTCAGGCAATTTACAAGTGAGCCCACACTGTGGCCCAGCCCCGGAAGTGCAGGGCCCAAGGCAGAGACACCAGCATGACAGTCTTTTGTGCCTTGACCCGAATCATCAGGCCTGAACTTGGCAGCAGTCTCCACTAGCCATATTTGTATTGCAATGACAACTTTTGAGGAAAATGCCAAACATTAGCAAGTGAAAACATCAATAATTAGAGCATCCTGTTCCCCGCCCCCCACCCAGCCCCTTCCACACACAAACATATTTTTTCATGAAAACCATTATTACTGCAGAACTGTCAGCATTATTCAGCTCAGTATAAAGAACTCTAAATAGAACCACTTTGTAACCTGGCTTCCAGAAAAAAGGCATGTGATATTTCACCAGGAGGGAGTTTGGCTGTTTGGGTTATCTTTTGGGGGTCATATGTTGCAGTAAGTAGAGATGCCTCTTACATTTTGTTGTATAGATTTGGTTTTGAAATCTGTTTGCCCGTGTCAGGTGCCACGCTTATTGTCCCGCCCATGAGAGCCAGTCCCCAAACCACAGAGATTCTGTTTGTTACTCTCTAGTCAAGGGCACGGGTAGACTGTGGAGATAGTTTTACCATTTGCCAACTCTGTATTTTGGGTGAATCTCTTAGTATCTCTGCGTCTTAATTTTTCTTTTTCTGAAATATTGGAATAATATAAAGTCCTTCTTTACAGAGTTGCTGTGAGGCTGAAATAAAATGTGAAAATGCTTGCTCACCTGGAAAGCCCTCTGTAAATAATAGTATACTAAATATACTAAAGAACCTCATAAATATAATAAAAAATAGAAATGTGTTTCATCAGCAAGCATGATATCCTCAAAAATTTCTCCGAAATACAGTGGGGAAAATGAACTGTTTATTGAATTCCTGCTATAGAGTAGATGTTCTAGCTGTTACTTTATTCATTCTGCAAGGTAGTTATTAAATCCCTACTTCAGAGATGAGGAGGCAGAGCTTCTAGCCACACAGCTATATACATACATAGCAGAAGTGGGATATGGACCTGACTCTAGAATTTACTGCTCTTTCTCCTTGTCTCTGGTCGTCTATCTTATTCCACTACCACCACCACCCCCAAAAAAGTTCTTAAAAGTTGTTCACATCCTTTGGGGCAGAGTGGGATCCAGAAGGAACTCCTGAGCTCTAGGATACCCTGGAGGGACCAGCAGCTGAAGGACAGTCAGGTGTAGGGCACACTCACACTCCACCTTAACGGAGTTGGCTAGGCCTGAACTGAAGGCAAGGAGGCAGGTGTGCCACCTTCTCCAGCCCGTGAAGAATGGCAATGGCCCTCAGGTTTCCAGAAGTTCATTCTTTCTCTGTCAGAGTGCTTTTTTGCAACCTCGCTGAGGTCGTTTGCTGAGCTGCTTCTTGGATCTTCTCAGAAATCAGTGTCTGATTTCTGAGCTTTTGGAGGACCCTCCCTGTTAACTTTAATGCAAGATGTTGAGGGAAAAGATCCCGGAGGTGGCAGTTCATTAGCTGCCCAGTGGGACCCACTGCTGCATGCATTTTCTTTTTTCATGCTAAGTTTTCCGGGTTCCAGACAGACAAGAGTTGTCTTGTGAATGGAGCTGCCCACACAGAGAACCAGAGATAATGCCTGTTGAAGGGTCGAATTGAATATTCAGGGAGGATGTCAGTGTGTGGGAGAAGCATTTGTTCAGACTGGATCTGAGAGGAGCTATGTGTTGTGTTTCCCTAGGTTCTCAACAGGAGGTGCGTAGAGGCGGCAGTGATGACAGGCCTGGCACTGAACTGCCACATAAACAAGAAGTCCTTGTTTGACAGGAAGCACTACTTCTATGCAGACCTCCCTGTAAGTATGCTTTGTGATTTGCCCTCTGTACATTCTCAGAGCTGGGGGGTTTGGAGGCAGGGAGCGGGGCTGTGCCTCTTACTCTCTCTGTCAGAGCCCTGTCCATCTCAGCAGGATGTGCTGCCCAGCCCTGATGAAGGCAGGTGCCCCCCGATGTTTACTAGATTATATGCAATTGTCCTGATTGCTGACTCCTTGCTTAGCCTCATGCTTCTGGTGGCTCACTCATAATTGAACGGGGAGTAGAAGAAGCTAGTATTCCCAGGCTTGGCCCAGCTGTGGTGTTTGGTGCTAATTGCCTGTTAGGACCAAAGCTAACTCTGGCTGATGCAACAGTAAATGCGGACTATAGCTCCGTAGACATAGTGAGAGCTTCCCTCTTTTAAGCTGAAGTTTCAAATAATAGGACTGTCACCTTTGAAGACACTTCTGTCATCTCCTAAGGAGCAGGTAAGTGGACGACAGTAAGCAGAAACACGAAGCAGAAGCCTGGACTGAACAGTAATCGGCTGAGCAGTAAACCCAATATAAACCTGCTTTTTCTTTAAAATTAGAGTTTTGTTTTGTTTTTTTTTTCTTTAAGAGAAGCCAATATGAACTAGAGCCAGTTTTTCATATTATTCAACTGAACCAAAACTGTAACGTTGAATGGGTTTCTCAAAATAATGTTTTATTTGATTGGAGCCTCTGATAGTATGGCCCCTCTTTAGATTTAGAAAAACAGTGATGATATTGCTTCATGCTCTTCCTCTTGAACTAGAGATTGAGGTGAGCTGTTTTTAGTGGGTGAGAACGGGAGGGGAATAAAATAAAAAATTCTAGAACCTGAATTCTCCAATTGCTGCTGCTTTTCCTCTCTAGCTGCCAGCCTTTTAGCAAATTGTACTGCTTGGTAGGGTAGAGAGAATGAACCTGCATTTTTTTCATCTTTTAAGAGTGATAACCAGTTTAGTTAAGATGGAGAGTTAGCAATATGTGACTAAAATGAAATGTTTTCATTATTTGCGGCTTTCTGTTCTTTTTTGCCCAGGTGGCTCAGACAGTCCAGAGTTAGTGTTGCCAAATATTACATGAGACATACTTATACTAAAAAAGTATTCGTTATTTATCTGAATAAGCAGTTCATCCAAATTAAATTGGAATTTAACTGAGCATCCTATAATTTATTTAGCAGCCCTCCTTAGAGTTTAATTTTTACAAAATGAGACTTCCTATTTCAGCATAAAGAATGAGTTGGCCCAATGTCGTGGTTCTCAAAGTGTGGTCCCTAGGCCACTAGCATCAGAATCTCCTGGGAACTTGTTAAAAATATAAATTCTCAGTTTCCTCGCAGACCTGCAGAATCAAAGTGTTCAGGTGGGGCTGGTCTGTGTGTTGAGCATTCTGCCAGGTGATTCTGATGCAGCTAAAGTTTGAAGAACACTGGCTTGGTAGCTAAGAGCACAGACTGGAGCCAGACCATTCTGCTTCAGATCCTGACGTTGGTACTTACTAGCTCTGTGGCTTTGGGCAAGGCCCTTAATCCTTTCGTGCCCTGTACCTCCCTCATAGGGTTGTCATGAGGATTAAAAGCAGTAAAGTACTGAGAACAGCGTGCCTGGGACCCCAGCAAGCAAAGCAGGTGCTTCTGCTGTGGTTATTCTCTGTTCTTCTCCAGTTCTCTGTATTGACCTGCTGCCTCTTTAGTGTGTGTTGATGCGTGTGTGTATTTGAAAGTAATTCTTCCTCTCTACTTGGAAGGAAGTGAGGGAGTCCTTGCAACACCCGTCAGTATTTTAGTACTATGTGCTTTCATTAGCTGGCTGTGAGAGTCCCAGCACTTTCTGGCTAGAAGAACAAGGTAAGTTGGGTCAGGGAGAGCTTCTGGCGTGATCGGTTAGCTTAAAGAGCAGGAACAAAGCAAGCTTAAACACACCAGCAACTGCTGTCAGCTGTGCTGAGAGTAGATAGCAAAATGCTTAGCCAGCAGTTCGCAATAAGGAGGGTCTGTCAGGAGCCCAGTAATCAGATGCAGGGTTTAGGCTAATGAGCTAAGTGAAAACAACATATTCTTTTCTTAGAAGCCTCTGACAGTGAGATTATTGTAATTTCCCCAAATGGTACTTCCGTAGAGAAGATGGGGTTCATACTGTTTATTGCATCATTATTGGGAGTAGGGGGATCCAGGGAAGGTAACGAGGGATGGGAACAATCAGAAGAGGCCAGGCTAATTATGGCTGCAGTACATAAACTAATTTTTCTCCTTTTCCTTTTTTTCTTTATTTTTAAATTTATTTTCTTATGTTTTTAAGTAAGCCTGTAGTTTTCTGACATTAAAAGGAATAGTAAACTGGATCCAGCTTTTCTATATGGACTAGTGACCGTGTAACCCATGTTTGTGTGCAGGCAGGCTACCAAATTACCCAGCAAAGGCTCCCGATCGCCGTGAATGGGAGCTTGGTGTACAGCGTCTGTGCGGGGAAGAAGCAGAATCAGGTGATCAGCAAGACGGTGAGGATCAAGCAGATCCAACTGGAACAAGACAGTGGCAAGACCCTCCACGATGACCTGCGGTCTCAGACACTCATTGACTTGAACAGGGCAGGTAGGCTTGGAGATTTTCCGTTACTTTTCCTCCCAGCCACCTCTCTTCCCGTCCAGAATTTACTCAAACCAGCTGAGGACGCAGGCCCTGGAGCATGATAGATGGAGATCAGAATATCATCGTTGGTACTGGCACAGTTGGTTAGAGAGCATGCCTTGAACTGTGATTACCTTTGGTTTTTCTAACAGCCCACCCCTAAAACGAGACAAACGTAGCCGCCTAGGCATGGATCCAACAGCTTGATATCCTAAGCAGACTTTACAAGAAATGAATCAAAGTCAAAAATCAAAAAGTGAGGGGGAAAAGCAAATCAGAGGCTAGGACCTACTTTGAGAATTTTTTAGTAGTGCAGGGTTTTCCTAAAACTTCAGCCTAGTTTATATGCTGCTCAGATAGGCTGACTCTGCCTCTCGTTTGGTAGGGGTTGGCCTTCTGGAAGTGGTCCTGGAGCCGGACATGTCCTGTGGAGAAGAGGCAGCAACAGCAGTCAGGGAGCTGCAGCTGATACTTCAAGCCCTGGGGACCAGCCAGGCAAATATGGCAGGTAGACACCACACAAGCAGTGTCCCTTCTTCTTTACCTTCCCCCTTTCTGCTTCCTAGGTCTCTTTGCGCTTGAGTTTCGTTCCCTGCATCAGCTACATTGAGGCGGTTTACATCCTTTTTTCAGCTTTTCGCATCCCTAGTTGTTTTTTTTTCCTTAGAGTTTTCCTTGGATGCTTTTCTGAGCCCCCAGCCAAAATAAACACACTAACATCAGCAGTGCAGATGTCCTGTGCCCAAGAATGTGAGATTAGGAGCCAGAGGAGTAGATGCTTTCTCCTGGCTTCGTGCATCAAAATGTTATGAACATTAATAAAATTGTATGTTTGAAAATTTCTTCTTTCTCAGCAAGAAGACGCTTTTATCAGAAGAATTCAGTTTGTAAGTGCTATGTCTGTGGCACTTTCTTAATTGATACTTTTCCTTTGGGTCTCTTCCTTTTTTTGTAGAATTTTCATCCATGTACAGCTGAAGCTAAATTAAAAGCCAAAGTTATGATTTCCTAAAACTTTGAGGTAAAATTTTAAGTTTAGTAAAAATATAGTAGGAAATTAAAATAAACACTTATATTCTAGGGACCAAGCAAACCATACATTTTAAGTGTTGCAAATGAGATGTCAGGATTACAAGCATTGGTCAGACTCATTTTCTCCGTGGCTCACGCCCTTGGCCCCTTCCTAACGCTGCTTTGCTAGCGCCGAAGTCCCTGAAAGCTAGTCTCTCCCATGGTTTTCCCTATTTTCTGTTCCCAGGGTTTTGTTTTTTTTAAACTTCTGCCACCCACAGATGACTCTCTGCCAGAGCGGAAAAAAGGTACAGATTCTGCATTTACAGTTGTTAATCCTTAGCTCAGCACAGTGGTATATTAGAGTTCTCCAGAGAAACAAAAACAATAGAATGTGTATGTATGTTATACATATATGTGTTTATATATAATGAGATTTGTTATAAAGAACTGATTCATGTGACTGTAGAGACTGAGAAGCTCCAGTCAGGAATCTCCAGGAGAGCTGATAATATAGTTCCAGTTCAGGTCCAAAGGCCTAAGAACCGATGGTATAAGTTCCTGTCCGAGCCCAAGCCCAAAGGCAGGAGAAGACTCATAGCTCAAAGACAGTAAGGCTGAGAGAGCAAATTCTCCTCTACTCTGCCTTTTGTTCTACTCAGACCTTAAATGGATTGAATGAGGCCCACCCACTGGTGGGAAAGGCAATCTGTTTGACTCAGTGTATGGATTCAGATGTTAATTTCATCCAAAACACCCTCACAGACAAACTTAGAATGTTTAACCAAATAACTGGGCACCTGGTGGCCAAGTCAAGTTGACACATAAAATAACCATCATAGGAGGTCACAGGGGATACCAATAAATACAAGTGATGGTCATGATTCATCTCCCTGCCAGTTTATAATACTATTTACCAACCTTTTTATGGCACACGATATATTTGCATGCTACAGAGGGATGTCTGAATTTGTAATGCCGCATTTGCCACATAGGACATCTTACAAGCAACAAATTGTTACATCAGAGCCCAAGTACAAGTTGAATCTGAAGACAGAACTTACCAATTTGCTATCTTCTTTAAGCTGAAGACTGGAAAAACACAGCCACGTGAGTCTGAGTGGCATAATGGTTAGCTGCCTACAAGCTTTATAGAAATGAGGCTCTGTTTTAGAGTAAGAAAACTCTCCATTTTCGATTTATGGCTCATGCTGCTTTTTTACCCACAGAATATAAATGAAATATGGGCAGGTTGGATGGTTATCCGTTTATGCACTAAAGTGTTTATTCTCTATTGCTTTAAAAGAGTTTTTATTATTCCATTCTTCTTCAGAATAACTGTGATTTCTACCAAACCTATAAAATAATAAACAGGCCACTTGTTAGCTGAGAAATAGCCCTATCTGGGTCCTTGCCAAGAGATAAACCATCATCGCAAGAACTCATCAGTTCAGTGACAGCTGAGAGGGTTCATTAAATCGTATTTGTTGTGACACTTTTTGTTGCTTTTAAATACAAACCCAACAGCTTTGCCCCTAGCACAGCAGCAGAATGGCTGTGGTGATTCTAAGGTGCTGTGGGGAGGAAAGGCCTGCCTGGGATCTGCAGGGGGCCCGCTTTTTTTTTTTT